ACTTTATTATAGCGTACCTCTTATTCTTTTATATTGTATTTTTTTTTGTGTGTTGACATTATATGATATAGGTACCCAATATTGCATATTTTTAATATTAATTTTATTTCTTAACTTTTTACTCTAAACTTATTTATATATACATTTTAATGCTTTGTTGATAGAATATGTTTTCTGTGACCTTAAAGTATATTTTGATTGGTTTTGTGGAAGCCGAAGACACCAATGGAAAAAAAAATCACTAAAATTTAGGCATAATATATAAATAAGGAAAACCGTAATACTCAGAATTGGCAGTTTCTGAAATTCAATAAATGATATTTAAGATGTTCCTAAATATTGTGATGAGATCATATATTTTTTCAAAAATTTTATTTTAACATATGTGTTTATTACAAAAAAAAATAGTTTTGATTAGGTACAAATTACGATAAAACATTTCACTTATTTATAGTTATACAAAATGTTAGTGAATGTCTTTGGCTTCCGTTTCATAGATTCTGCACGTTCCATAACATGTAAATTAATAAAACAATCCACAAAGGAAATTAAAACCCCCTGTTTTCAGTGTGACTCCTGAACAAGCACCATCTGCATTGAAGGTAGTGATTTAAGCTCATTCGAAATAAGATGCATCCCTCTTCAAAAAAGAATTTTAAAATATCTATGCAAAAAATGTAGAAATTATGAACCAACTTGTTGATATTTAAAAAAATACTATTGCTGATAAAAATAAAATAATAAGTGACCAAGAAGTGATAATTAAGCTACTTACAGAAAAAATGTGTGGAAAAAGAAGACCAAATCTCTTATAGCACAGTGTTTTACGAAAAGAGAGTCCAATTCCAGCTATAAACATAGTGAAATAATCATCAAACCAAAAAAAAAACACCAATCCATCGATAAAACTAAAAAAGACGTATCAATCATGGGGAACTCAAAATTTAATCATCAACATAAAATCAACTAAATCAGGGAACATGATAATCAAATGTTTGAAAAAAAATTTGATGTGTCCAACACATGACTTTCCTATCTAAATATTATAGGCTTTTTCCGGTTGTTTTGTACAACCTATTGCAGCACCTCTATAAATGTTTAGAGGATAAACTAAATATATACATTTTCCACATACACCTAACTCGAAACATTTTTCTATATATATTCATTGAAAACGAAAATACTGAAAAATTTAAATTTAGCACTTTTTCTCCAATTTTTCCATTACGGTCCACTTTAGAAAAATCATATAAAAATTAACAATTATAGAGATCGATATCGCAAACAACTTTTAGTTTAACAATTTTCTTCAAAATCAGAATGTTGCACATTTCAGGAAAATTTGGCATGAAGCAAAAATTATAGATAATAATATTAGAAGTAATTTTTATTTAAACAGTTTTCTTCTCCAAACATAAATAACAGATATATTCCATAAAATATAAAAACGACCTCCTATAAAGTATCCCCCAGATGTTCCGGCTCTGTTCAAAATCTAATCATTTCACCTCAGGCCGAAATAAAACTTAAGTTTAAAATTTAATGTTTTTCCTTTATCCGTTTTTGAGTTTTCTTCAAAATTCTAAATTTACACATTTTCTCAAATATCTCGAATACGGTCCCTTTTAGAGAAATTATGGATAGGATAAAAATGATAGAGAATTATGACATAAACAACATTTATTTGAACAATTTTTGTAAGAAATTACGCTTGGGATGGGAAAGATGGATGGTCTATGAAGATTTCAGTGTACCAAAATGTTATAAATGTCAGGAATATTATCATAAAAAAGAGGAGTATAGTAACAGAATTAGATGACCAATCTGCTCCCATGATCATAGGGAAAAAGACTGTCCTAAACAAAATAAATATTGTAAAAAGCAGTTTTTAAAAATATGTGCTAAAAATGTTTCATGTTAATATTGGCAGTGCCCAATAAAATTCTGATGCCTTCTTAACATTTCTTGAAACATTTCAAATGAAAGACCTGGACATAATTATCTTTGGAGAAACAAGAAATGTAAATTATTATACAATGCAAGGTTTTCAAACATTCTTCAAACAATCAAAACGATGAAACCCTTATTTTTATTAGGGATAACATTAACTTTGACATACAAAATATTATTTTACCTTTAAGTGACGTTACAGTTTCTACAATTTAAAATGGCATAACATAGGTATTTCCATACTAACTTGTTATAGTCCCATCCATTAATGAAAACTTGTTTTTGGTAGATTTAGAATCTATTTTAAATAACTTTAAGGGCATTAATATAGATATTATAATTGGTGATGTAAACATTAACATACTTAATCCCACAAATGCAGCATCAAACAACTACATATATATCTTATGTTGGCTTATCTAGGTTTTAAATCTTACATAAATTCATATACTAGAGTAACTAGAGACTCCAGCTCCTGTATTGACCATCTTTTAATGAGAAAAAAAATTAGAAATAAATAATCTAGCACAAGATGCTCTTGTAATAGATACTGATATCACTGATCATTATCCTATATTCTTAAATATATATTTAAAAAATGGTAACAATACTGTAAACAATAATATAGACAAAAAAAAACTATTCAGATATTTGATGATGACAAATACAGAGACAAGATAAGTTTAGTAAAATGGAGAAATGTTTATACTCAAGATGATCCAGAATTTGCTTATCAAACTTTAATTGGAACCTTTAAGACCGTATATGATTGCTTTCACAGTAAAATACTAAAATCAGGTAACTGCAAGAAACAAACCATGGACTAGCGGTATAATAAAATCTATTAAACACATTAAAAATACTTTTAATTAAAAATAAAAATTATAGAAATAATCTTAACAAATTACTTAATCCAAATTACGAAAAACACGTATTACAAAAATCAAATTAATGAAAATATTAATATGAAAAAGATTTATGAAATAATTGCTCATGCCACAAATGAGAAAGTAAATAAAACCAACAATAATATTATCATATCAAATAATTAATAATAACGAACCCTTTACAGAATATACTTAAATGGCTAATTTCTGTAATAGGTTTTTTGTAGATGTATGAAATAAAATGCATGCAAAATTAAACAACCTAACCTCCAGATTAATATGAATTACCCCAATTGTATACACTCTATGGCTTTAAAACCTGTTAGCAATGAAGAAATAATTTTGGATATTAACAGCCTAAAAAATAACAGCACACCAGGCTATGATGGCATTACATCAAGGCTAATAAAAAAATATCACAAATTTCTCTTAGATCCCTAGTCCATACAATAAACAGAATTTTTTAACGGGTAGAGTACCTACACATTGATGGTGGGTGAGGTTTTCCTCACCTGTAAGTCAAATGGCACCATCAATCATCTTTAAGTCGCCCCGGAGCGCCACGGCAAATAATAATATCCGTCCCTTCCCCTACACAAGTAGTTCAGTCGACTTCAGGGGTTAAAATTCACTCGTAAGGGGGTGAATTAGGGAGAGTATTATTATTATTATTATTATTATTATTATTATTATTATTTAAAAATATCTACAATCACCCTAATTTTCAAAAAAAAAGGAAACATAGCCAATATTACAAATTATCAACCCATAAGTGACATCTCCAATTTTGCTAAAATTTTTGAAAAATGTTTAAAAAATAGGTTATTCAATTATCTTACTTCTGTTAACATATTAAATAAAAATCAATTTGGATGTATACCCGGAATTAGTACTAATGATGCCATGTACGAACTTAAAAATGGACTTGACAATAATGAGAAGGCAATTGTAATTTTTCTTGATCTTGCAAAGGCTTTGGACAGCTAACCTGGTATTGTGTTGAAAGTTTTCATAAGTTATTTAAAAAAGCGTAAACAGAAAGTAAAAATTAAAAAAGTGTAGTGATTCTTTAGATGTTAAAATTGGTATACCACAAGGCACTGCACTTGGTCCTCTTCTTTGCATTACCTACATTAATTCATTACTAAATTAAAATATAAATGGAGATTCAATTTCTTATGATCATGGTACCATTTAGAAAATATGATGCCAACCAGAGATTTACTGCAATCATGGTACCAAAAATTTTCAACATACTACCATTGAAGATTCGAACCACAATTGGGTATAAAAAGATTATTGAGAAAAGAGAATATACTGCTCAACTTTTGTAGTTCTGTAAGTAGGTATATATAAATTGTTAATTTATTGTATATTCTTCTTTTTCATATTTTATGCCATTGACAATTTACCTACCATAATATATAGTTCAGAGTAACTTTAAATCAAATCATATTTGACTTTCCAGTCTTGCACATACAAGTATTAAGTCACTCAGGTGCATTTATTTGTACAAGCTCAAGTATTTTGTTAATATGTTATCATGTATATTGCATGTATAATAGAATATTTAATAAAAAAAAATAATAATTTTCTTCAATCCATTGCATGAACCCCAAAATGTTTCACTTTTTTTCTCAAAAGTGAAGATAATAAACAATATTAATAATTAAAATAAAAATTTAATTATTTTACTACATTTGCAGACATACCAGATTTTTATGTTAAGTGGTAAAATCCCGGTATAGAGAACAGTAATTTTTTGTTTTATGTAGGTATCAATATGAAGTAAATGTTAAAATTAAGTTTTATCACTTACTAAACTCAATTTAAAGAGATGTTACAAAACTATGGCAAAATATTTAGTATAAAAACACTTAAATATATACAATGTGACAAAAGTGATGTAATTCGGTTATTAACACTAAATTAAACTTACAATTAAAGTAGAGAACGTTTTACCTAAGTAAGAATAATTGCCTATCTTTATCAATATACCTACATACTTTACTTAAATGGTATTATTTTTTATCAGTTTAATGGCACTGGTAAGAGGCTATTTTGCAATTATTTTAAACAGTTTTTGAATGTTTAAAGAGAAAGTAAAAAACTCAAACAATACTTTCGTGTTTTAAATATTTATTTGCAACCATGAAAACTCACCTACTGGATGTCATGTTTCCAATTTATTTAAAATTCATCAAATTCCAATAATCTGAAAAATATAAAATCGTTCAAAAGACTATAAACAACTACACAATAGAATTTTTTTTACTAAAATGTATTTCCATATGTTTAATTTAATTATAAATGAATGATTGAACTCCTACAAAACAAACTTGGCCTATTTATTTTTGTGTTTAATTTTTTTTTTTTAATCAACACATTAATACTTTTTTATAGTTATAATAAATATAACAATTATGAATAACCATTGGAATATCTAAAGACTGATAACTAGTTCAAAAGAAACCGGATGAATATATTAAACAGACATTTCTACTTCCTTTCCAATTATACACACACTATATTTTTCGATAATTTTAATACTACTCTTTAAACGAAGGTTAAAAATCGCTACTTACCAATTTGAATAAAAGCTCATTTAATTTGGGACAACATAATGTAATTTCTAGCACTAATTAATACTTTTTTCAATGAAAAAATCGACAAAAATATGTTTTCATATGTAGATTTCACAGAGGGGCAGCTCATCTCTCAATGAACAAATTTATACTGACAGCCATGATGTCGATGAGCGCGACTTAACACCACTACTTAATTCCGATTGGTCCAAACTATAACTACACTAATCAAAATGTTAGTATTTTCGGAATTTTCAAAATATAAATCAAAAATGATTACTTATGATATTAATGTGGTAATTAATAATGAACTATTTAACCGACTTTGGTGATAATATATTTTTTTAATTTGATTTCTTAACATTTTTCAATACGAATGTTTTCGTTTCTTTAAACGTTAACTTGAACCCAAAGTATATTTTTGACGCAGCCAAATGTCAAAAAGTACCTGTCAAAAGTGTCAAACAAAAATTGAAATTGAGACGAAAAGAAAACATGCGGAATTTACGAAATCAAAAATTAGATTCGAAATCTAAACACAAAAAGAGAAAAACTAAAATACACTTAGTTTTTGATGAAACTAAAAGAAGGTTTGTTTTAACTTATATATCATAATTGTACACAATATTTGATTGCGGGTAACCTCACTTTTATTTATGTGAATGTTCGATATAGCAGTGTGTATTTATTTGGTAGTGATTTTACAACCAACTTGCCAGTCAAAGTGCAGTTAAATAATTTCAAATCAATTATAGTTTTCTGCACCACTAATACAAAGTTGTTTTTGATAACTTGCAATTTAATTCTATTTCTAGGGAATTTCTTACAGGTTTTCACAAAAGAAAACTTCAACGTAAGAAAGAAGCCAAAGAAAATTTCGAAAAAGACCTAAAAGCAGAAAGAAAGCGTATTAAATCAGAAGCTAAAGAATCATACAAAAAGTTAGTAGTGTCTCACAAACCTATTCCAGAATTAGAGGACTTGTTAAGTGAAAAACATGAAAATGAAGATGTAACAGTGAAAATAGTTGAACTGTCAACAAATGATATAGCTAAACAAAGCAATTGGATTGGTGCCAATCAACCAAAATATGAAGAAGAAATTGAAGAATCAGATAATGAAGAACAGCCTGTAAGCGAAATTCCAGGAATGGAACTTAAACGCAAGCCTTTACCATCTAAAAAGGAAAAAGAAGTCATCAAATTTAATTCTGAAAAAGATATAAAAAAGGCTTTAAAAAAAGAGGCAACAAAAAATGTAAAAAAAAGTAAGGTGTTCCAAAAGAAAAATCAGATGGAGAGTAAAAAGCAGAGAAAGAAGTCTATGCAGATGAAGAAACAGAGAATGAAGATTAGAGATAAAGGGAAAGCAAAGAAGGGTGGCAGAGGTAGAAAAAATGTAGAATCAAATTAAGATTAAATAGGAAAATTAGTTACTTTTTATGTTTGGTTATCAAAATGAATTAAAATATCAACTCCAAATTTTTGTTAAATTTGTGAAACTACAGAACTATTGCAATTTTATAACTTTCACTTTTTGTATGAGTAAAATTACAGAAATATCTACCTTAAAGTTACTTGTAAATATTTATTCAATGTTTCATAAATGAAACAATATCATTTTATACTTTGTTTGAAATAAGATATTTCATTACTTAATATATAATAAATTTGATTTAATACTTTCCATTTTTTATTTTCTAATATTCCCAAAGTATAAGTTGTTACTTAAACATTGTCATTGTCCTTCTATTTTTTTATAGCTAAAACATTTCTATTCACAGTCTCTCACCCAGAAAACCCTTATATGTATAAAAACCCAAGCAGTGTTGGCATTTTGTTTGCAATTTATTTGGCTGATCCCCCAAACCCCTCCTCCTCGTAACTACCCACTTATTTTCAGAGCACTTCCAATAGGCATGCAGAGGAGTAAACCACTGAGGATATAGGTGTACAAAAAGGAGGATTTACGAGGATGTGATTTCTTAAGGATGATATAGCAGGGGCAAAAGTTGGAAAGGCTTTTGGTAGGTAGAGAGGGGGTAAACGTTAAACCACGTCGGACGACTTATACAAATTTGGGGTAATGTTTATCTGCCAGTGGTGTTTCATAGAATAAATAATTTTAAATTGTTACCGGCGGAACCGGACAGTCACATGTATTTATGAATTAGAAATAATTATTAAACTATTTACCCGAAATCGTTATTAACATCTATAAAATAATGTATTGCGTCCACTTCAGTTAGCTCCCTTGCAAATCTGTCAGTTATAGTGTACAAAGTAAGGGAACTGGCAAAAGCCTTTCCAACTTCTACCCCTGCTATATAAAAGTATTTTTTTCTAATTTTGAGAAAGTAATAATGGTTGCCTAGATGCCAGTAATGTTTTAACAAATCACAATTTAATAAATAAAAATATGTTATCCATCATGTGGTGAGCTAATTATATTTTAGATTTTGGGCATAGTCAGATATCTAGGGTGGTAGTTTATAGGGGGTCGTTTTTCTACTTTATGGAATATTTAAAGAAATTGTTTAAATAAAAAAGTTGTCATGTTATTCTCTATTTTTGTTCGATACATAATTTCTCTAAAATAGACCTATTTGAAATATTTGAGAAAAAGTGCAAATTTAGAATTTAAGCTTTTAATTCATCTGCAGTGAAATAATTAAATTTTGGGAACAGTCGGAACATCTGAGGGGTACTTTATAGAGGGTCGTTCTTCTATTTTATAGAATATATCCGTTATTTAGGCTTGAAGAAAATTATTCAAATAGAAGTTGCTTGTAATGTTATTCTCCATAATTTATGTCCATACATAATTTTCCTAAAATTGTCCGTATTCGAGAAATTTGACAAAAAGTTCAAAATTCCAATTTTTAAGAAACATTTTTCAAATAAAAGTTGTTTACAATATCGTTCATTATATTTAAGAGAACGGATTACGTATAGGATTGACGCACATGCCTTACATTTGCGAAATCGCCATGCCACGACATAGAACTGCTATGTTTCAACGGTCATTTAGCTATAATGTCGCTAAAGTATACAATTCACTAAATACACACTTAAAATCATATTTGAGTACAAGTTCATTTAAAATAATGTTAAAATCATATTTTCTTGGTAGCCAAGCAAATGAAAATATTTAATTCATATTCTATTTTAATTATTTTATTTAATTCTTGTTGTTAATTTAAATTTGAATTCATCCGTAGACATTTAGCGTAATGTAGAGTAGGTTAGGTTTAAGTTAGTTTTATGATTTGTGATATGGTTAAGTTGAATGGCCATTTGGCTAGACTACGCCATTTATACTTTGTAAATGTTTTGCTGGTATAATAAAGACGTTTATTATTATTTTTATTCTTTATAATTTTTGTTCTATACACAATTTCTCTAAAATGGACCATAATGGACAAAGCGGAAGTATAAAATTTTAATTTTTCATTATTTTCGTTGGCAATGAATTATAAAAAAATGTTTTGAGTAAGATGTGTGTGGAAAATGTATTTAGTTTATCCCCTAAATGGGTGATAAAATAGGTTGTACAAAAAAAACTGGAACTTATTGATCAAAGAATGTTTGCACATATCGGTAATTATATATGAAAAATAACTTATTTTGAACTGAAATAGTATCTAGAAATTAACTTTGTCCAGAAACATTGGTATTATCATCTGCACGTGCGATTTTTAACTATAAATGAATATGTAAATGCCAATAATTGAGTTTACATAACTTTATTTAAAAAAAAAATACAAAGCAAAATAATAAAAAAATCTGCAATCAATACTAATTTCCTTTCTTAATGTGTTTCCCTTTCAATTCATTTTTAATATATTTGATACCATATGGACATAATTCGTGGTTTAAACAAGTTGCACATTGTGCTTTAATGGGCTGACATATTTGTTGCCCAAATCCTACTAACAAATGGTTCACTTCACTCCATAATTCTTGAGGTAACCAATCTTCGAGAGCCTTTCTTGTTTCTTCTGGAGTTTTGGTATTTACCCATCCTAGGCGATTGGATATTCTGTGAACATGGGTATCGACACCTAAAACAATCAAATTTTTTGAAACAAAGATATGTTGTAATATATCTTTGAATATACCTTATAGCTAAATCCACACATTATAAAAAAATGTATATGACGAAATTCTACAATATGCAAATGAAATAATTTAAGAGTTGATGGGTATTCTGTAATTTGGCAAAACGAAGAAAACAAAAAAATATAAAAATGGGTTAGTAATCAGAATTAATGCAATTCTGTTTTCGATAATGGGTTTCTTTAATTAAGCTCTAATTATTAATGGTATTATACAACATTTAAAGGTTATCTTACTGACATCCTGTATAACAAACTAAAATATTTGGTTTCTTAGATAGCAGCAAGAGAATAAACCTTAAAACTTATTATTTTGAGAAAACCTATCCTTTTAAACATTAAATTGTTATATAAACAATTACCTATGCCTGTAACCAGTCCCCAACTTGTTTTCATACAAATGTGAGCCATTTTTGGTCCCACTCCAGGAAGTTTACATAATTTTTCTACAGTATCTGGAATATCACCATCATATTCTTTTTGCAAAATTTCTGTTGTCTTTTTTATATATTTTACTTTACTCTGAAAAAAATATATATATATTATAAATGATTCAAAACAACTCATAGACCGGGGTCAGCATACTTAGCAATTTGCTAAACTTTTATTCTTAAAAGAAAAATCTAACCTTCCAAAAACCAACAGGATATATTAATTTTCCCAATACTTCGTCTGAAGTACTATTTATATTTTCAACAGTACAACCATGTTCCTTAAGCCTTCCCATAGCTGCATACGTTACTTGATCTTTGGTCTGACTGCTTAGCATCAATGCTAAAAGTTGTTGGTATCTTTGAACCTAAAATATATATAGACAAAATTAATAATGTCTACAATTTAGCTCACTGATAAAGGAAATTAGGGATAGAACAGAACTGTAGCATTATTTCTTAATTTATTAATTCTACAAGTCATATTTATATGAAAGCTATGGAAAAAGTAACATCAAAAATAGTGTACCTATATAATCTTAAATATCTACCTATAAGTTTATATTAACAAGAAATAACTAAATGAAAGACTCAACATTCTACTTAAATGTACAGTTACATAGAAAGTGTACTGCAGTAATATAAAATGTCAAACAAGAAATGCCTGAATGAATTAAAATTCCCCTATACCTTCAATTAGATTGGGTTTAGATTAGGTATACAAAATCTACTTATTGAAAATATCATAATCATCATAAGATTATAATTTTTTATCATAAATCATGAATATTACTTTTGGTAATGCATCATCATCATGACATTTGTTACAACCCATGGAGTCTACAGGAGCATCTGCATCTTTACGCATTTCTCTTAGATTATCTAAAACTTGTTCCCAATTGCAAGGTATATTTCTATTTTTCTTTGTTTCTTCATTTTTAATATCATATTCAATTTTAATGTGTTTACGTTTTTGTGGACTAATTTTATACTCTATTTCTTGTTTAATAGCTACTTCTTCAGCATGTTCTTGCTTCACTTCAATATTTTCTATGTCTTGTGCAGTTTCTAATGTTTCTATAACTTCGAATGCTGTATGTTTGGATAACTTAGGTTTAACCTTTTTTTTAAATGTTGATAAATCTACAGAAATCTTTTCTTCGACTGTGGTTTTGTTCCTGGTAACTCTTTTATCCTTACTGGAGGCGGCTTCTACCTTTGCTTTTCTCATAATTTTAGAAAAGTGAATGTTCCTTGAAATAACCAGAATACCTTTAATATTCATAACATCATATTTATATATGAAAAACAATTAGTAATTGAAGATGTTTAGTAAGGCTAGTGCCTAACAGTCACAGTAGTAAATCAGTTATAGACGTTGAAATGGTTTATACAAAAACAAATAATTACTGTTCTTGAGTTTTTTTCTCATGTTTACTTTTTTTACGTTTCAAATTCAAAACCAAAACAAATCTTGACACTTGTCAGTTGACAGTGTTGACAGACCGAGTTCTGTTCGACAATGGTCAGGGGCGGGCGAGCGGATGTGATTTTTAAATTCGAGCGTATATACAGGGTGTTCGGAAAATGCGGGTTACATGGAGTTACCACATAGATTTGTTAGATCAAAATAAGTTAATTTAACCAAACTTACCTATATACCAACTTGCTTCATTTCATTTGGCCGCTAGAGGTCAACAAAGTTAAATAAAAATATGTTTTAAGGACTGATTCCACCGTTGGGTTAAACGAAGTTTAGAATGACATTTTTACATTAACAATGTCATTTTAATCTCCGTTTAACACAACGGTGGAATCGACCCTTAAAGTCTTCAAAAAAGAGAGAGGTTCTCAATTCTTCTGAATATTTTTTTATGTATGTATATGTTCAGCGATAATTCTTTAACACGTTGGCCGATTTTAATGATTAGTGTATTGTTAGTAAGGGAGTACTTTAGGGGTGGTCCTATATAAATTTGGTCAAGATGTGGCATCAAGGCATCTGCACGATATTAAAGTCGGTTTTTTTAATCTCCAAAATTCAGTTATTTTAAAAGATTAAACTTGATATGAATAATAAGTGTTTTACGGCCAATTAAAAGCAGCAGGACCCACACGGTTCGTAGACACTACGGTGCATGGCCTCACCCCCGTAGCTAAGGACGGAGTGAAATCACCGAATGAAAAAAGCAAGTTGGCAGAAAATATTCTACTTAGGACCGATTCCACCGTTGGGTTAAACGAAGTTTAAAATGACATTTTTACATTAACAATGTCATTTTAATCTCCGTTTAACACAACGGTGGAATCGGCCCTTAGGTTCGTATATTGTTTTTTTTTTAATCTATTCTTTTTTGTTGTATTTATATTTTTATTTTTGGACTATTTTCCAGAGCTGGGCAATTCCTAGTTAAAAAGTAAATAATAATTACAAATACTTTTTTTTTCATCTAATTTGTAATTATATTTAAGTACTTTTTTTAAAGTAAATTGGAATAATTGTAATTGCAGCAACTGTGGCGGAATTGTACTGTGTAATTATATTATTTAAATTGTCTAAATACAATTACTTCTCATACATACTATATGTTTAATTAGTTTATAATGTTTCTGTAACATAAATTATATTTATATAATATAAATACAAAATACGTCTTAAAAATAAGGGTATCTACATCTACTTACCTCTTACTGTTATTATTTTGGGTTCAACAAATTCACTACTATTCTAAGGCTCTTTCCACGGCCCAGCGCTTTCGTCAAATGCATTTAAACAAATAACATAGATGCGAGTCCGCGCTCTAGTGACCGGTTCGAACAGGGCAGTAATTATAATTAAAAAATGTTATTGTACTTGTAAATGTAATTGTAATTGGGAAAAGTAATTGTACTTACGAAAGTAATTGTATTATGTAATTTAAATAATATTGCAAAGTACAATTCCTCCACAAATTTTGCTTCAAATACAATTCCAAATAACTTTAAGAAAAAAGTATTTAAATACAATTACAAGAAAATAAAAGTATTTGTAAATACAAATTTCTTTTTTAACCAGGAATTACCCAGCTCTGTCTGATATGCTTTTGGTATACGGATTTTGTACCGGAAATGGTCGTGAAAGTGTTAGAGTTTATATATATGGAGAGCTTTCCAAAAAATAAAGAATTAAAACTTTTTAGTTTGCTTGAAGTAATGGTTAAATATTAATAGTATAAGTAGGTATAGCTTTTCGACTGTTATACGCTAAATTAGTGATGACGTAATTTTGGTCCACAGTAACAGTATTTTTTTTAGTGCGTTTTGTTCGTTTTGTTTACCTAAATTTTATATTGTTTTTAAATAAATATATATTTCTAGAGTAAGTAGACAATCGAGTATATAATCGTTTAGCAACCAATTACATTTATTAAACTACTTTTTATGACCTGCAAACAATATTCAATAAAAAATAAAAAAGTATATGCAAAGAAGTAGAGAGGGTAGAATGATAAAGGTATACCCCGTCTGCGCATCCATGACGAGTGTAGAAATTGTGCATGATTCGACCTTATACACTCTTACACACGAAAATGACAAGTATATAGGGGTTGCCCTAAAGTACAGTAAACAAATTCCAGACTTGGCTTTGTTCAGCTATATTATGTTCATGTTCAGCTATTATGTTCATGTTCAGCTTTGTTTTTGCTTATTGTGTTGCGTGGCTGTTTTAAGCTTTTTTTGGAAACGGTTATTTATTGGCTTGCTTATATTTATGATTTTTTGGGCTTTGATTTCAATTTAATAATAAATTGTAACTATTTTCCGATACACTATTCTTTAATTTTTGCATAAAATATTCTTAAACCGTCCCTGAATTTTGTTTACAAAATGGGCAAAACGAAATTGTGTATATGTCTATACCATGGAGGAAAGATTATAAGTCTATACTTTTTTATTGACAGTTATCATTCTACCCCTCTCCACTTCATTGTGTAAATGTCAAATATTGTTAAAAGTTTGGTTAGAAATAACTTGTGGAACCCATGGAGGAAGGTGGAACCTGTGGAACCAAAATTACGTCACACTTTTATCGTCTATTGCGTTTAATCAGTGGCGTAACTAGAAATTTTACCCTCCCCACAAAGTCTAAACCAGCACATTTAATTAACTTAATATTATTTATATTTTTCAACTTAAAAGGGATCCGCAGATATTAGTTACGCCACTGTAGCTAATTTACCATGTGCCATACCCAACCCACCTTTGATTAAAAAATTGTAATACAGAATAAGCCCGTCCTGTACTTTAATCTTTTCAATTTTCAACTATTGACCAACATTCAGAAATTATTCATGTGCTTAAAAATTTTTTATTTTGTCAAACATGAATCAAAACAACCAATTTTCTAAAAAAACTATTTTTATTATGTAGAAATATGAGATCAAACTACTATTTGATTACAATAATAGAAAGTGGAAGTGAGATAGTGCATTCGTTTAAAGAGTTTTGTTTTCGATTGGCTTAGAAGTTTACAAATGCAAACAACGACGTCTAAAGATAAAAGATACGATTTTAAACCCGTCCGAGTGAAAGAGATAACTTGGTGGCTGCGGTTGATTGTATCGTATGCCAAATGAATAAATGAAAGCGAAAATAGTTACGACATACGTTGTTTACCATATCTTGTACTGAAAAGAGTAAATAGATAAATAAACTGTCTGTGACCTTTGCGTCAGAGTATAAGCTCAACACAAGGCCACGCCATATTGAAACGAATCAGTTGTCTGTTAATTTTGGTACGGGGTGAATTGGTATCTATCACACTCTTTTATATTTTTTTCGTGTTTTAATAATAATAAATATCGTGTAAATAACTTTAAAATAATATTAAAAAGCCATGTCATCGATTACAGTGCATTTTTTGGTAAAGTTTTTTGTATTTCCGTATAAGTTACAAAGATGATTTTTTATTCAGAAAAGTGTATGTACATGCAGGAAGATAATCGATTTGTCAACGCGAGTTTAGATTACATTTTCGGTGCACTAATTGACCTAAGGTGCGTTCAACCATCACATATTAAATATACCATGTTTGGTGTCGTTGGATGCGGCTTTTTCTGATAAATTTTTTGGTTAATCTTGTTTCCATGACTGACTCTTCTAAGTGAAACAAAATATAAACAAAACCTGGATACACCCGCACACTGCGATTATTAATAATTAAGAAGCACCCAGTGATTTGGAACGTACCTATAAATAATTCGTGAAGGTTTTCTTTCGCGATTGGGGTTATGATACATGTTGATTATCAACATCTTTTGATAATAATTAATATTAGTAGTAGGGGGCAAGGATCTGTGCGCTAGAAAATCATACAATTAACTTTTTTCGATTGATTGACTTTTAACCAGTTTCGCGATATCGTTCTACATTTTCATATTCAGATGTGTAATATTTATATACCTTTGTTTATTTTGAATGCGATATACAAAAGGTGACAGTTCCTTTTGGGGGTTTTGCTGAAAAAATGGATGTCGATGAAGCTGTTGTGGATTTGAGTATTAGGTACGTACTTATTTATATTTATTTACATGTAGTACCTTAAAAGTACCTAAAGTAGGTACCTACTTATATTCTAGGCATTATTTTAGTTTTATATAATCTTTATATATTCTGGTTTATTAAAGTATCTAGATTAAATGATATCTCTTAATTTTTTAAAATATTACATAATAATATGGATTAAAATAGTTTGTCCAAATTAATACTTAATTGTTAGACGTGGATAGACGTCCGGTGGTCGGACAGATAAGATTTTTATAAGAAATAGTATAGTAGTGAGCAAAGCAATTATAAGACCAATTGTCCTTAAATAAAAGACAAAATCACAAAAATAAATTGTTCTTAACTGTTTAAACCAGAAAAAGTTATGTTTGAACTTAAAGCAATACTTACAGAAGCAAAAGTAATAAAAAAGAGTTGTATTTGTGAACTTTTACTGTGCCAAGATTGCATAAATGCAGTGATTTAAATTATTATGTTTCTAACAAATTTACAAGTATATATAGAGATTAATTATATGAATATTTTTCATATTAATATACTTATTAAATATTGGTGTACCTAGATCATATTAATGGACAAATAAAATAACTATTAGAGAAGGTTGTTATAGATCAATTATAAAGAGCAATGGACAATGTATTTAAGTACCTATTTGAAACCCTCCTGTCTGTGTTGACAGTAGTGAATTACAAGCATTTGTGTAAATTATTTCATAAAAATATAATTAATAAAAGTAGCTTTGTCTAAATCTATTAGGTTTGTCTAAATCTATTAGGTATACAAGTGTTTTATCTGAAAAATGTCATATCTGTTTTTAACAATTTAACAGGTCTGCTGCGGCTGATAAACATTTTAAGTTATCAGTATCATCAATAAAAGTAAATACCTCCGAAATTACGGGTGTGAAGTTATCCGCAACCACAAATGTACACTGAGAAAAATATAGTTATATCATAATAGTCATATAACTTGGTTCAAATGACATGTAGTTTAGTTTAATAGTTATAAGTTACAATGAGTTACAATAATAAATAAGTTACAATAAAGTACAATAATGGAAACCAATTATATAATAACAAGCACCTAAGTGAGAACACCTGTATGTGCTGACAAAAATTAAAATTTTATTTTAATTATATTTAATGAATTATAAAGGAAATGAAAAAAAAAACATTTTTTTTTTAAATAAAAAATAAAACTTAAACAATTTATGCAAGAAATATAAAAAAAAAAACTATTAAAAAAAAATCCATGTATTAAGTCCGTTATTCTTGGAATATTCTGATAAACTTTGCATTATTTTGGAAAATGTATATTTTGCTAACTTTACATACTTTTTTATATTTGTTTAATAATTTTATATAAAGAGGTAGAGCGTTTTAGAACTTTGTCCCTAGATAATTTACACTGTTTTTAAAAAACTTACTATTTGGTTTTGGTACTTTAATGCACATGTTCGATGCAGTTCTAGTGTTATGTCTATGTTCTAAAGGGGTTTTTAAAAATTCATTTTTTTGTATATAACAACACACTGCATGAATATATAAACATCTAACATTGATAATTTTTTCAATATATAAAGTTATGGTGGGACACAATATATCTCTTTTATATATTAACTTCAAGATTTTGTTTTGAATAACATTTAACTGATTTAATGTAGTTCCATACAGGCCTCCCCATACTAAGATTCCATACCATAGTATATATTCTACTAGACTGTAGTATAATGTTATTAGTAGATCCCGGTTGAGAAATTGTTTTAAAAGATAAAATCAGAAATCTAAGTTTTTTTGCTATATATATTATATGGCAGTCCCATTTTAAGTGCTGGTCTATAATTATACCTAAATATTTGGATGTTTCTGTTTCCTGTATGTCTAAATTTTGACATGTTAAGCTTCTAAATTGAGGTCGATCAGCCACTGTCATTGAAAAAGCAATGTAATTTGTTTTGTTAACATTCAAAGACAATTTAAAAACATCCAGCCAGTTTTTGACGTGTTCCATTCCAGCTATAGCACATGTCTTGATGGCTTCCCAATCTTTATCACTGAAGACTAGCACTGTATCATCAGCATATGATACAACTTTACCTTGAATATCAATCTGAGTTAAGCTCTTATTGTATAAATTAAATAGTATAGGTAGAGGCTTTTCATTTGCAGATTTCAAAGGAAGGTTTAAATACATAACAAGCATACCCTCAATTAACTTCTGCTCCGTCTGAGAAGGTGCAATTGGGGGTGACATTTAAAAAAAGCCACAAATGGCATTGTACACCTTTCTACTTGATATATGTTATGTAGTTTGCTCTTTTCTTTATCCCTGATTCTATGCTGGAGTTTGTCAAGCCGTCTGAGGGGGTGCCATTGTGGGTGAAATTAAACAAACTAATCATAGAAGAAAAAATTGGCTTTGTACAACTTTCTGCTTGGGATATGTTATGTAGTTTGCTCTTTTCTTCATCCCTGATACCATGATGGAGTTTGTCGTGCCGTCTGAGGTGACATTTAAAAAATCATAGAAGCCACAAATGGCTTTGTACACCTTTCTTCTTGGAATGACTTTATGATTTTAGTATTTAAAAATAAAAATGAGCTTTGAAGAGGAAGTGTCTTGTGTCTTTCTACTTTTCAAAAGTATATAATTTTTTTTGGTAATTTTATATTTTTTACTTTTTGCCAAAATTAAATAAGTCCTTTTTGATTTCCTTTGATGGAACCACATGGTTTTTTATTTTCATTTCTTAATTAAACATGTTTTAAGATTAACATTTGAAATAGTAATTTTTAAGATCCAAATTAATAGAATAGTCACAAAACAAATTCTCTTTATACTCTCATTTTATTATTATTTAACAATATTTATTTTTAAAATTCCAAATCATTATGCTGTGGAAATTAAAAATATCACTTCCGGAAAAAAAGAAGTGATTCTGAGCTGAAATAATAGAAATATGGACAATATGTTCTTATATAATCTGAAATTCAAAATTATATCTTTAAAATTATAAAAGGTATTGTGTATACCCTCATCTCAATATTATCACCCGGTATATAACTTTTACATACTGTAACTATGATAAAGAGAGTAAAATGACCAACAATATGGTCCAGTCACTGATTAGAACAATATTTAATCAGATAAATGTAAATTTATGTTTTCATCATTTTTCAAACTCCAGCATAAAGATCAAACTACATAACATATCCCAAGCAGAAAGGTGTTCAAAGCTATTTGTGACTACTATGATTTTTTTTTTAATTTCTCCCCAATTGTATCCCCTCAGATGGCTCAACAAACTCCAGCATGGTATCAGGGATGAAGAAACAAGCAAACTACATAACATATCCCAAGCAGAAAGGTGTATAAAACCATTTGTGGCTTCTATGATTTTTTTTAAATTTCACCCCCAGTTACACCCTCTCAGACGGCTCCACAAACTTCAGCATAGTATCAGGAACGAAGAAAAGAACAAATTACATAACATATCCCAAGCAGAAAGGTGTACAAAGCTATTTGTGACTTCTATGATTTTTTTTTTAATTTCACCCCAATTGTACCCCCTCAGACGTCTCGACGAACTACAGCATGGTATCAGGGACGAAGAAAAGAGCAAACTACATAACTTATCCCAAGCAGAAAGGTGTACAAAGCTATTTGTGGCTTATATGATTTTTTTTTAAATTTTACCCTCAATTTCACCCCCTCAGATGGTTTGGCAAACTCCAGTATGGTATCAGGGACGAGGAAAAAAGCAAACTACATAACATATCCCGAGCAGAAAGTTCTACAAAGCCATTATTTTCTTCTATGATTTTTTGTTTAATTTCACCCCTAATTGCACCCCCTCAGACGGCTCGACAAACTCCAGCAAGGTATCAGGGATGAAGAAAAGAGCTAACTATATAACATATCCCAAGCAGAATGGTGTACAAAGCCATTTTTTTCTTCTATAATTTTTTGATTAAAATCACCCCCAATTGCACCCCCTCAGAGGACTCTATAAACTTCAGCATAGTATCAGAGACGAAGAAACTGCATAACATATCCCAAGCAGAAAGGTGTACAAAGCTATTTGTGACTTCTATGATATTTTTTTAATTTCATCCCAATTGTACCCCCTCAGACGACTTGGCAAACTCCAGCCTGGTATCAGGGATGAAGAAAAAAGCAAACTACATAACATATCCCAAGCAGAAAGGTGTACAAAACCATTTGTAGCTTCTATGATTTTTTTTAAATTTCACCCCCAATTGTACCCCCTCAGATTGCTTGACAAACTCCAGTATGGTATCAGGGATGAAGAAAAAAGCAAACTACATACCATATCCCAAGCAAAAAGGTTTACAAGCCATTTGTTGCTTCTATGATTTTTTGTTTAATGTCGACCCCAATTGCATCCCCTCAGACGGATCGACAAACTCCAGCATGGTATCAGGGATGAAGAAAAGAGCAAACTACATAACATATCCCAAGCAGAAAGGTGTACAAAACCATTTGTGACTTCTATGATTTTTTTTAATTTCACCCCCAATTGTACCCCCTTAGACAGAGCAAAAGTTAATTGCGGGTATTCTTGTTATGTATTGAAACCCCCCCAATTGAAATCTGTAAACGAAAGGCTTCTACATGTAATTTGAATCAGGTTATATGACTATTACAATAGAGCTATATTTTTCTCAGTGTACATTTATGGTTGTGCATAATTTCACACCCGTCTGAAATTACCTATAAAATACATTTCCAATTTTGGATAATCTTATAGTTGATGGTTCTTGCAATGTGCATGTCCCCACACCACTCTGACTGAGGTCTAGAATTTGAATTTGAGACATGCCACCTTGTTAAAACTCTATTTTCATTTTAGAAAGAAATAGAAATACCTATCTTTATTGAAGTAGGTAAACCTAATATACAAACAATTTTTTTTTGAATTGTTACAAAAAACACAAATTCAAAATGCAAAACGAGATGCAAAATACAAAATATGGAAA